TCTACTACCGCAAACTACGCTCGGTAATACGGACAAAAAGATTACCAGAAAGGTTTTCGCCGAAGGCGAGAGGGTCTCAGTGCGAGATTACTTGTCGAGTGAACGCTGGCAATTTGGCAATATCATTTCCAGACGCGGTGATATCCATTACGAAGTTCAACTTGATGATGGAAGAATATGGAGACGCCACGTCGAGCAAATACGCAACGTGGGTCAACAATTACCTAATCGTCTTATTCAACCTATGGCTCCCGAGCAGATAAAAGTTGGCGTGCATGGTGAGATGTATGACCAACGCGAAGAAACAATACAGTCGCAAACACAACCACATGTAGCATACGCACCAACGGAGCAGAACTCAGGTACCGAAGTACATCTAAGGCGATCGGAGAGAGTTCGAAATGAACCAGACCGGCTCCAATGTAATTAAAATAAATTATGTAGTTGAAACCATCTTAAAAAAAAAATAATTTGTAGTTATTAAGTGCATATAAATGAAAATAAACTTGAATCTTGTATAACACGTTAAGATATTGAATTGAAAATGTAATACATACATAGATCGCTTTTTAACCGACTTCCAAAAAAGGAGGAGGTTATCAGTTCGTTTGCAACGGAAAGGTAGTGGCTCAGAGGTGGTCCCGTACTAATTTGGTTTAGATCCGATCATTGGATCATGAAATATATAGATATATATATATATTTTTTTTAAGTCGGTTTTTTTTTTGCTAAAAATTACTTGTTATATTTATGAAAATAGGTGGTGGAGAGATGTCATATATAAATGTAAATGTAGCATAAGCATATGAATGTCATAGATAGAGAATCTGAATTATTTCCGGCACTTGTGTAATCACTGTCAATTTAATGTCATTACAATAAAGAAGTCACACGTGCAAAGATATACGACAGTAGCTGAATTCAGTAGTTTTGCGATGTGACAAGTAATCCAAAGAAATTAAGAACATGATAATTATGAATACAGATTTCAAAGTTTCTAATGCTGTGCAGCTGAACTGCGCCAAGATGTTGAGTTTTTCGCGGTTAATTTCACGAAAAACGGGTTTAATGGCTTATTTTGTTTTCTCTATGCAATTTAGTACTATTCTTACCCTTCAAATGTTAGATTCTAGGACTTTTTGTAGTACTAGAAAAATAGTCGAAATAATTTCAATAGATTTTTTATTATTTAATCGGAAAATCTTCTTGTTCTTTTAGCTTCTCATTCCGCTTCTTTTGAGTTCGTTCTTTTCTATAATTCTCACGTTTTTTTATTAGTCTAAGTAATTCTTATCTTTTCAGTTTACATAAGTTAGAAAAAAAAAAGTTTTAAATGAGCCCCATGTTTAACTAAATAGGAAAACAAGGGTGGGTAAAAATTAAATTAGTTCAAAAGACTGTTACGTTACAAATAGCTTCCCACCGAAAACATATTGGTAATGAAGAGTATTTGGAACTATTTCATTTTACTGTGAAATAAGGCCGAAAATGCTCAAAGAAAACTATATTTTCCCTTTTTTAGCTTGGTGGATTCCGCGCCAAAAAACTTTTTAGTATTTTGGGCTGTTACATTATATTAAAAAATACTGCGGACTTGATTTTCATATAGAAAGCGAATTCCTGATTTTTTTGTCGAACACTTTTTTTTATTAACTTTAAAATAATACAAGGCAAGCGAAGAGAGGCAAGTATAATGCAAAAAAGTGGTGGACCTTAAATATACCCTTTAGTTTCATGTTGTACTTTTTAAATTTTCGTTTATTTAAAGGTGTCTCAAGATTAAGTGAATTTTCATGTTCGAGAGAAGGAGATTCGTATTAATATTGATGTTATCCGATACCTTACAATATGCATGACCCAGGAATAATCCAAAATCTGCGAAACCTGAGAAAAAAAAATGTTCTCCTTGGTTTCGTTTTCGGCGATTTGGGCCATATACATATATAACTTCAAGGTAATTCAATTTGTAGACAGTTCATGATTGCAAGTCTCCACCGAAAGCTGGGATCCCATTCTGATCTACCCAGTTACCTCCAAGCTTCCTGGGAAAACAGTGGCCCTATGGGAGCAATACCTCAGTTTCAGGAAAGACCTTCCGAACTGGTCCCAAATTATAAAGCAAAACAAAAGAAATGTTTCCCAATTTGGTTTTGTTTTGCACGTTAAATTAAGGGAACAATTTATTCATATGGAATTAGCGATAGGGCTGATTGTATCATGACTCATACCTATGATAATATGGATATCTGCGTATAATTTGTTAGTGTAAGTTTTTACTTATATACGGCTAACACCACCCTGTTAAATACATTGATCGAATAGCACACTCAATAAACATAGGCTGTTGAGTTGTATGATTGTTATTCAAATTTCGTATGTAAAACAGCAACAATGCTGATACAATAGTTGTAAAACAATAAAACTATACAACGATACAACAGCATACAACACCTTGTGAACCGCCCAAATATGTTTCCAGTGGGCAATGTTTACTCGATTAAATTTAGATCAAATTGGTTCGTAGAAAAAAAATGTAATAGCGAACTCTTAATGCAGTTTACTTCTATTTTACACGTAGATTATGGATCCACAGGCTCGCCCCTGAATTTCATACCGGAACATTTCGCTATCTGGATTATAGGTTTTTTTTTTCGAGTTTTTGCGATTTGCAAGATTATTTTGCATTTTTCGTAAAATCGGTTGTATACAAATTTGTAGAGAATTTAATTGCCCACATGTTTTATATACTACAAACTTAAATAATTAAATTTTTATTGTAAATAATTAGCAAAAAGTGCGAAATTTGTTGCATTGTTACTGTTTTCGTGATTTTTCAACAAGTTCTGATAAAAATGCGTAGCATATTCAAATGCCAAAGTTGTAGGGAACTTTTCTCTTTTAGTGTTGGGTTCTCCGGTGGCACAAAATTTGTAAAGCAAAATCTAATTTGCGGTTAGTTTAGATGCTATATTTGAGACGCCTTGTAGCATTTTTCAAAAGGCCTCACGGCGACTTGCAACATGCACTGGTATACTAAAATTTAGTAATCTATAAAACTGCACACCCAAAATTTTTATAAAAACAAAAAAAATACTTTTGGTAACATTTTTTATAACATTTCAAATTATTACTTTTAAATTTATTTTTTGTTTTAGGAGAACCCTACAATTGTTTTTAGCTAGTTTTTATTATGAAATATTTATTAGCTGGAACAGGAGAATCGGTCTTCTTCAAAATTGGCGCAATTTCTGCATTTTGTACAAAAAAATAAAAATTCGAAAATTGGGCTTAACTAGTCTCTTGCAAATTTTATTAGCTTTCATTTAAAAAAATAATTAATCAAATCGGATGAGAAATGAAGGCTCCAGTGAATTATGAACATTAAATTCCATTTATTGACCACTGTGCATCGTATGCGGTACTCGCCGTCGCCAACGCGTAAAGGCCCGTAAATTTTCCGCAAAATCTTTCTCTCGAATACTCCAAGAGCCGCCTCATCGGATGTTGCATTGTCCATGCTTCTGCGCCATATACCAGCACCGGCATGATGAGTGACTTATAGACTTATGGTTTTCATACGTCGAGAGAAGACTTTACTCCTGAATTGCCTACTCAGTCCAAAGTAGCACTTGTTGGCTAGAGCGATTCTGCGTTGGATTTTCATGCTGGCATTATTATCGGTGTTAATTCTGGTTCCCAAGTAAACGAAATTCTCTACTTTCTCGAAATTATAACTGTCAACAGTGATGTGGGTGCCAAAGCCCGAATGTGCTGACTGTTTGTTTGATGACAGGAGACACTTCGTACTTCATACACTTCACAGTTTTATTTCATACAATCCTGAAGCAGAAATATTTCAAAGTCTATGAAGTAAAGGTGGGCAGGGGCTCTATTCTGCAACTGTGAGTTTTCAAGTGTACACTGAAAATTGTGTAAACTTCCTCATTTTACAAGCTTTTATTTAACTTCACTTGTATGTATGTATGTATGTATGTATGTATGTCCTGGAACTTTGCAGTCAATATTTAACAAACTTCCCGATGAGCTACAGACTTGAAACTTCAAACTTAGCTCAGAACTCGAGGACAACACAATTTAAAAGATGTTTTAATCCGCTAGGTGGCGCAGGAGTCGAGATATTTGTAAAACCCGCATTTATAGTCTGATTTGGTTCATATTTATAACATATATTACTTATATGAAAAGAAATAAATCCCGAAAAAAATGTTGCCGATAGGTGGCGCAGGAGTCGAGATATTTGTAAAACCCCCATTTATAGTCTGATGTGGTTCATATTTAGAACATATATGACTTATATGAAAAGAAATAAATCCGAAAAAAAATTTTGCCGACAGGTGGCGCAGGAGTCGAGATATTTGGAAAACCCGTATTTATGATCCGATTAAGTTCACATTTAGAATGCATATTGCTTACATGAAAAGAAATAACTACACAAAAAATTTTGGCAGTTATGTGGCGCGTGAGTCTATATAATTAAAAATTCGGCATCTGTGCTCAAATTTGGTTTATATTCAGAATA